GGGGGAGGAGGTATGCGGCCTGTGGGGGTGGTACTAAGGGCCCCGCAGTTTCCCAGCAACTTCCTGCAAGAACAGAGAGAGGTAGAGGCTGGGGGTGGGGGTGGGGGCGGGGAACCTAACCTGTTGCCTTTTGCGTATTCCGACTCATAGTGACCTTATAGAACAAAGTAGAACAGCTCCACAGGGTTTCTAAGGAGCAGCTGGTGGATTTGAACTGCTGACCTTTTGGTGAGCAGCTGTAGCTTGCTGTAGCTCTTAACTACTGCTCCAACTGGAGTGAAAGGGAAAGAGAGAGAGGACTAACAAGTGGATGGGGAAGGGGCAAGTCCAAAGTCTCACAACAACTCAGTGCAAAGCTAGGCAGAGCCACTGACTCTCCTACCTCCTACAGGAAAGGAGATGAACCCAAGGTTGGCATCTACTGCATCCCCTGGGGATCTAGGTGTGCCTCCATCTGTGCTGATTGTCCACGTGGTTTTCTTTTCCATCTCAGAAAGAACTGGGGCCAGGTCACATTCATCTGTGTTCCCGGTGTCCAGCACAGATGAAGTTGTCAGTGAACGTTTTCTAAATGAGTGAATAAAATCCATTGCCGTCAAGTCGACTCCGACTCGTAGGACAGAGAACTGCCCCACAGGGTTTCCAAGGAGCAGCTGGTAGATTTGAACTGCTGACTTTTTGGTTGGCAGCCAAGCTCTTAACCACTAAGCTACCAGGGCTCCAAGTGCAGAATAGCAAGAGTTAAATGTTCCAGGTGGCTGTCCTGAATTTGAACCCATCTGCCTCTGTGTGATTTCTCCTCACAGCACCTCAGTTTCTTTATAGGTAAAATAGGGGTAATGATAGGACCTCCTTGTAGGGCTATTGTGAAATTAAATGCTGTAAAATGCTCAGTACCGTGTTGGGCAAATAGTAGGTGCTCAGTAAACATTGCTAATATTTTTCATGTGGATGAGTGAGAAAGTGAGGGAGTGATTTTTCTCCTACTCAGAGCTTCTTTTCCCAAAGGGCCAAGCTGAAGTGGTCTGGCTCTTAGACTTGTTCTTGGGCTGGACCCATGGAGAGGATTGTGAGGGAGTCTGACCCATGGGGAGGGGCTGGGGGCCAAGACCTGTGAAAAAGAGTACCACCCTTATGCAGACTCTCTATGTCATAGAGGTCTCAGCTGCCTGGCCAGCAGCACCCTTCAGGCACACTGCAGCAGTTACCTGTGCCCATGGGGCCCTCTCATCTTGTCCGTACCTCTCGGCCCCGGGGCCTGAGTTCCCCCTACCACAGGCCAGGTATGGGCCAGCCCAGGTCCCGGTTCCGCAGGATGTTCAAGTGCAGTCGCAGAAGATACCGACAAAACTCCCAAAACCTAGCTACCACCATTGCAGCCACCATGGCCGCTGATATCAACACCAACACCCATACGGCCACTACCAGTGTATGGATCCTCCCACCTGGAGGTTAGTTGGGGCCCTGGGCTGGGTGAGGGGTTGGAAAAACAGAGCTGCCAAAGGCCCTGCCTAGACCCTCTAGAGAACAAAGTCTGTGAAATACTACCCCAAAGGTATGGTTGGGTCTTGATGGCAGGCATCTCAAAGGCTGAGAGCCTTAAGGAAGATGGAAAGGAGGGAAACAGAGGGTCTGGGGAGGTGGGTGAATCCAAAGGGCAGTGGAGCTTTCAGAGTTGCTGCCTTCCTCACACCCTTCCCTCTTATTCTTCTCCTCAGTTCTCAGGCACCTCTGTCAACCTGGGAGCTTTCTGATCCTCTAGAAACGCCAGAAGCTTAGCTTGCTCCAGACCTGCCTCTCCCAGGGGCCATGGATGATGAACAACGGACAAATACAGACATTTCTGCTCCAAATGTCTTACTCTACTCCGAGGTGTTTTCAGCTGGCTATGCAGGGTGTTCCAACTCAGAGTGACCCTATAGGCTCTGTCCCTACATGACAGAGTAGAACTGCCCCATAGGGTTTCCAAGCAGCTGGTGGTGGATTCAAATTGCCGACCTTTTGGTTAGCAGCAGAGCTCTTAAACCACTGAGCTACCAGTGCTAAGTGTGCCTCTGCAATCAAATGTACCTCTGGGGCTGGCTGCGTGTGACAAGGTGTGTTTGTGAGGGCACTGGGAGGCCAGAGAGAGGACTCTGGCCCTGATTAAGAGGAATGAAGGTCAGGAGGGGGATGGGAAACAGCCTGAAGGAAGAGAGGGTGGGGAAAGGCCGGCCTCTGAGGAGAGTGTACCATCTTCAGCCCCTCAGACCCTTTCCAAGGTCACTGTTTTTTAAAACTGGCAGCTGAGCTGGGGCTATTGGCGGCAGGGCAAGACTGAGGTCGAGCCCAGAAAGGGGGTAGGGTGCTAAACTCTCTGGCTTGAGGATTTTCCATTCGGATTTCTGAGTGTGCACCATGTGTCATCAGATGTAACTGGGTTTCTGTGGGGTGTGTCTTCATGGAGTTGTGTCTTGGTGGCTGGGAACATTGTATGGAACTCTGTTTCTAAAAGTGTGGCTTTGTGCATGGATTAGTGTGTGTTCCAGTGCCTCAAGATCTGACTCTGGTTCCAGGGCTCCTTTCCCTGAGGGTTGGGGGTAGGAGT